GCACATTTCTTCAGCTGCCTGTAGGTGCATTTTTAAAGGTTTGAAAGCTGCAGGAATTTTAAATCCTGAGAAAACATCTTTGTAAAGTAGTTTCCTGCATCTTTCAACAAGCCTGGCCACCCAACACCTCACTAATGGGCTAAATATTAAAATAAACTAAATAAACATGTCACTGACAGAAATGGATTGGCAGGATGGAGAAAGAGCTGCAGAATGCAATGAAGGTATAGCAGTGAAGTATTGCTCCTATGACTTCTCAAGCTGATTTAGTCTTAGACAATACACTAGCAGGAACACTAATAATCCTAAGCCAAGTTTTCCTGGTGTGAAGCACCTCCAGGAGCTTCAGACAACACTTCAGCACATGTGCTCAATGCACATGTGGACTCACACGTGCACTTCAGCAGTGCATGGTCACACAGGATCCAAAGAAATGGCTAAGAGCTCCATTTCTTACCTGTCCTACGGGAGAAAGCTGTAAGAGAGATTGCTTGGAATTAAAAGATTGTGTATTTTCTCCAAAAAATAGGCCAAGGACAAGCTGATGTAAACTGCTGCAGGCAGAAAAAGCAGTGGATGAAACTGGCTCATGGCCTCATACAATTGGCAACAGTGCTGGATCATCTACATGGATGGAGCTGGTTGATTTAATGACAGCTCAGTCTTATGCAGAGCCCTGGAATGCAAACCTAAACCCAGCCTCCTCCAAAGGCCAGACATGTTTAACTTCCAAGGTGGTGGGTTTGAGTCTCTCTTTTCAAGTTGTGAAAATGTCAAGATCAAACTGAACAGCTCCAGGATTTTCATAGACAGAGGACACAGAAGCATCTCTGCACATTCAGCGTTATTATCCTTAAGAGAAACTCTGCAAAACCAGAAGAGCTGACCTGCGAGCCTCACCTCAGGCACTACAAGCCCATGGATCTGGATGCAGCCCCCACATAGCTCCTTTAAAAGCCTCTATTTGGGGGGCACTCCTCAGGCATATCTACTCCTCAGGTAAATATGCTCCTCTGACATGGGGCAGGTGGGAAATCCAGCTCAGAGTCAAGCTCAGGCACTGCAAACATCAACCTCAGATGGAGGGAAAGGAAAACTTTCAGTCAGGAGTTTGGGGGAGTTTTCCCAGGCCATGAAGAGCACAACACAGATGCCAACAGGCAGGAATTCAGTTGTATCTTCCGATCGTTCTTCCATAACAATATCTCCAGCATAATTTTAATTTTGAGGGACTTGACTCTGCTCTTCACAGCAGCTAAGGTTTAGCTCAGGGCTACTCACTCCCAGAAGTGACTCTCTGGCTTCTGTCTCACACAGCCCTGTCAAAACCACTTTTATCAGGTTATGCTTGTGTGCTTGTCTTCCAAAGATATTGAATCCATCCCTAAATGGCAGTGCCTTTCTTACCCATGCAGCATCTCAAAACCATCATGTGTCATCAACATTTTTTAGTTGGTGGAGTTTTTCCAGTTAGAGTTTTGCTTGCTTTTAGGAGAGGATCCTTAAACCAAGCTCTCCGTGTCTTTGCCACTGATGTTGCTTTTTGCAGAGTGCCTTGACCCTGGGTCTTTAATTTGGTAATGACCCAAACTCACTGCAGGACAGCAGGAGCCACAGGGGGAGCAACTGCAGATCGATTCTCTGTCCTCACAGCTCTGCCTCAGCAGCATGGAAACACTGCTACTTCCCCACTCCCCATGCAATTCTCAATGATGCAGCTGATAGAAGACATTTAAAGGGATTGAAAGGAAATGAAAGAGCAGCATCCCACTGGAAGCCACCAGGAGCTGGGTATCAAACCTTCATCTGTGCTTTTGGAAGACTTCCTCCAGGGCTTCAGTGCAGCAGTGAACAACCCATGTGCAACCTATACACTGTTCTCCCCCACTGACTTCACAGCTTGAAGAAAGGCAATAAACCCAGAGACTTCAGCTCAGCCAGTTTTGCTTGACTCACCAATTTTTCTTGCTGTTCTGTGGTACAGCATCAGGACTTTGCAAATTTTTTTTTTTTATTTCTACTGTCAGCATCCCGGCACATAGATGGGAATGGAGTGCCACCCTGCCACCCTACAGGTCCCCAGCATCAGTGCTGGCAGAGCTCCCACATATATATCCTCACATCTATATCCTCTAGAAACAGGCATTTTATAAAACATCTGTAAGACAAAAGGGATTCCTCGTATCTGACACTGTTCTTGTAGGTATTGGTTACATTTTCTTTAATATTTTCGTATCTATAGCATTTGCTCTTTTTTTTTGCGTGGCCTGGGAACCTGCAAGAACATTCCATACGACAGTGAAAAGTAGAAGGTGGAGGCAGAAAGTTTGCTTCCTACCCTGAGACCTACCCTTATGTTTCCATGTGATTTCTGGGGAGCTCCTCTGGCCAAGTTACTCCAAACTATGAATTGCTGTCTGGCTTATCCAGGTTATCACAGCCTCTGAGACTGGGACTGTCACTCCATGAGACACTGCAAATCTGCCTGTTTAATTACCTCAGTTTCCCTGTTGGTGAAGGGAGGATAAGATCTTCTTTCACGTCTCAACTCATTAATATTAGTAAATTGTTCTGAGATTATGGGATAGCTGGAACTATTTATAGGAACGCAAAATGCCATTTCTACTAGGTGCAAGTTGCCATGCAATTAAAATATACTGAGCATCACAATATGTAGCAAATGGGACATCTTGTTTTACATCAGCAAAGAACTGCTAAGTGGCTCTCTGCTTCCTAGTTGCTTATTTTATACTTTTTGCCCTGAAAAACTCATTAAGGAAATGTACTGGGCCAGACTCTGATGTTTAGCAAGAGTCATAATCTCTCTCGAAGGTTCCAGCCCACAGGGAAAAGGATGTCCGTGTGGGCAAATCAAGCTTCTCTCCCCACAGCTCTACAAAATGCAGAGCTTTACAGTTTGCTGTCAACAGAGAGGGATGTGAACCACAGTTATGGCCCTTCTGCACCTCTTAAAGGAGATTTCTATTCTGTGGGTATGCACAAAAATCTCTGCTCTCAGCCCTTCCAGAGAAGAGGAACAGAGGATCCTTTAAATCTCAGCTCTCCTCAGCTGCCTTCTATGGAGTGACCAGGGAGAACTTTTATTGGCTCATTCTCCTACAAATGAATTTATGAAGATGCCTTCCAAAGGGCTGCATCGTCTTCTTCCTCATTTCAGTCTGGGAGAGCTTTTTAAGAGACCATTTGGACAAGACCACCACAATAATTCATAACATTTGCAGACAATTTGTAAACCCTTACCGTGTCCCAGAATGATTAATTATTTTTTCTAAGACTATGAAACACTGTGTGAGTGTGTGTTTGTGACTATGCATGAAGACAGGCAGCTCCCCCAGGCCCAGGGGCAGGCATAAAGATCAGCACAGATTTCTTCTTCACTGTGTAGGGTTTTGGTGATACTTCAGTTATTTTACCCCTCCATATTTTAGGTTTCTAAGTGAACCCAAAGCAGAAGATAGCAGTCTTATTTTTTCCCAAGTCTTCTAGAATAGACTGTGGAAGATGTAGATGTACCAAAGATATAATCCTATGCAAATTATTTATTCTAATGATGATTACTGGCCTTGGCTTCAGCCACCCAGGAGAAAAGCAATTAAAGTCACCCCTCATCCTAGATTACAAGGCCTAAACTTATTCTCTGTTAAGTTTTCAATATGATTAGTTTCATATCAACTTTCAAACCAAACAGCACTTTGCCGGTAGTTTCTGGATGAACATACATTAACCCAAGTGAGTACAGAACAAGGAATCTACAAATCCTAGAATTCGGAACAATTTCCTAAAACCTGTCTTAAAATATTCTCCATAAATACTCATCCAATACAGACTAATTGCAAAGGTAAGGCTCATGGGAGCAAAAATCAGAACAATGCTGGAACAAATATGCAGGATTTGCTCAGGACTCTAGTCCAAGCCTGCTTTTGCAGCAAGATACAAGAAATAAATCAATGTAGGCCATCATTAGCTATACCAAGTCTGGAATATTTAGTACTGAGTACTAACACTAGAACCTCTCTCCTAATAACATTATTTAGGCTATTGTAAAAATTATTTGCTGTTACACATAGAGTTGGGTGATAAAAGTTAGTTACTGTCAGTTTAACAATTAGAAGGCCATACCAAAATGCATTGCGGAGCATGAGGAAAAATAACACAAATCAAATAATTTTGATGCTTTTCATCACTACAATGATTTTTTTGGTAACAGTAGACAGTGACTGGGCATTCCTTGGGAGTGACTGAATTCCAGGGGGACCAGTAGAGAAGACTATTGGTTACAAGAAGTTTTAAACTCTTCACTAGGTAAGACATTTCCCTCTCTTTGCCAGGCCCATGATCATCCCTTTTGCCACTATACTTGCATACTCAATGGTACCTCCTTGGAAAGGTTTTGTTAATCTGATTTGCTTGGCTAAAACAAAAGTCAGCTGGAAGAAATAAATCTGGGGAGCCTGCAAGTACAAACATGCACACAGAAAATTTGAAAAAATTATCCTTTTTTTGCTTGTAGAAACTAGTCTCCTCACAAGCTTACGAGTCCAAATCCCACATGAAGGGAAGAGAAAGTCATGGCAGGCTAAAGAAATCAAAAGTAAACATGAATATTAGCTTCGTTGTATGGTTCTGTAAAACAAGCTGGGTGAAATTACTCTTTGGTTTGGTTTGGTTATCAACATCTCTTGCCACACTGCCATGACCTTTTTGATTTTAATTTCACCACTATGTACCAGTTTTTGTTGTCTCTCCAGCTTACTGTTAGCACCTGTTATTAGGCTGATCTAGTGGGAGCAGTGATTAGTCTGTGTGTTTATAAGCCGTGCTTTCACACTGAAAAAACCCGAGATACTTAATACAGATAATAATCCTGTGCAGTCTAAACAACCTTTGGGAGAGCTGTTCAAAAATAATATTGTGAGCTTTCATGTCACAAAGGATGTGAATAAGGCTGATTTCCTTTAAAGCACACAATTTCATCCTACCTTGCTGGCCTTCAGTATCTCAAACATCAGAGGCAACCCTTGTGTGATGAGCTCCTCAGTGTACTCCTCTTCCTGAATGGACTTGAACTCCTTCAGCAAGCACTGGATGAGGGGCCGCCGGTGCTGCTGGAAGGATGTGCGCAGAGACTCCAGCCACGTGTGCAGCGTCCACGGAACACCTGCAGACAGAGGACACAGCTCATTCCCAGCTCCAGGGAGCGACGTGCCCTTCTGTTCTTTTACCTTTACTGATATTAAGATTTTAAGCAAAAGCTGCCTCATCATTCAAGAAATCAAATTCCCATTTATCCCTAATTGAGAAGGCTGATGGTTATCAGTACGTCCCAGAGCTAATGCACAGAGGCTTTCCTCCAAATGCTAAGAGAAGACTGTGGTCTCTCTGCTCATCTAGCCTTCAGCTTCTCTGCTGAGACTACCAATTTGTGGTAATTGCTGTGGTGTTCTGCGTTGCAAAAGCCTTTTGGAAACTAGATTTACACTAGCTCATTTGTCTGAATGTGGCCCTGGAGAGCCATTAAATGGTGAAAAAACCTGATTTTGGTCACTACCTACCTGGATTCAAATTGGTGGTCTTCAGATTAAAACTTGCTTTAAGTGATACCCCATGTCCTCTCCCGATCATTAGTATTTTCCCTAAAGAGCCCTGAGCCAGTTAAGCAGATCAGCCCTTTCAAACAGCTTGTCATGGCAGAACCGCTCTCCAGGAAGTTAAAGGGAACTGCTCCCATGCACTGAGCGAGAAAGCACATGGAGCTAATGTACCTCTGCAGGCATGAGGCTGGATGTGACCTACTTTCTCCTCTTACAGAACTGCGTGGAAGGAAATAGAAGCCTGGTGTTTGGCAAGTGAAGTTTTTTCCTTCCATATCAGAAAATGTTCAATGCCAGCAGAGCACCCCTGCCACTTTCCTCTCATTCATCTCCAGATCTTTGCCTGCACAGCCCACTGCACACTCTGACCCATATCCCATGGCCCCAGGGCTGGAGCACTGCCCCAGGCAGAGGAACACCAGGCACTTGGGTCTCTCTTTCTCTGTGAACAGATGAATGGGGATGGTAAACACACAGTCCAGATCGATTTCCATCTGCGTCACACAACCACCCTACCCACAGGCAGAAGCAACTTCACAGAGAGCTGGTATGATGTTCAAGTCTCTCACTGGCAGAGCTGGCATACCAAGGAGTCAGCTCCCTGCTCCTGCCTTCTGAGTCTTGGAAAATAAAGCTGTTTTAATGGTGGACTGCTTTAAAGCAGAGTGCAAAAGAGAAGCAGCTGGAGGTGGCCCATGACAGCTGAACACTGCCCCAGAGCCTTACCTACACTCTGCCATGCAGCAGTGGTTTCAGGACACAGAAACCACTGTGTCCTGCAGAAAAAGATTCTGGCCCCTGAACATGGTGTGCTGTGGAGCTAAAATGGGCTGGGAACGCGTCAGATCTCCCACCACCTTCTATTCTGAAAGAGCCGAGGAAGATGTGACTGTGGTTGGTCTAATCAACAGCCTGTCAAGAGGAACATGTTTTTCACAGTGGTCCTTCCCTGTCCGAAGCAGAGGAAGGAGCCCAGGACTGACCTATGCTCCGGATGTCGATGGTGACGTCCACGTAGCCGTGCTCGGCGCTGTGGTACATGGCCTCCTTCAGGGCCTTCAGCTTGGCCTTGCTGTTGCGGCTGGCACAGAGCGGAGCTGCCGCCGAGTCGGGCAAGTCCGTGCCCTCGGCCAGGATCTCCTCCAAGGACAGGATATCGCTCTTCTCCTTCTCCGGCTGAGCAAGCAGCTTGCGGAAAACATTCCTGTCAATCACAGAGTGACAGAGCAAGAGAGGGGGCAGGAGAGGAGAGGAAAGGGAGAGCAGAGTCAGTGGCCAGGCTTTCACTGCACTGGGCTTACTTGCTGTGATGCGTCAGGTTAGGACACCTACCCAAGAAATTAGTCCAGCTAGTGGCAGAACCAGTTGAGAGCAGCCCTAAGGCAAGCACAGCTCCTGCTAGCCCACCTGCACTGCCTGGGACTTGTCTGCAAGTCACTGCTGTCGTGACACGAACCGCGCAGATGTCACATGAGTGACGGCATCTCGTGGGAACAAAGACTTGTGAGCTAAACGTGACTCAAGACTTCTTCAGCAGCCAGGGAAGGCCAAAGTGCCTCTGGACAAGCTCTTGGGACTCCCACCATGGCAGCCACCTGAGAAGGGAGCTGCCTGGAGCTACTGAAAGCACCACCACTCAAATCACACTCAAAGCAGTTTGGGAAAGCTAGAGCAGCTAGACATTCAACAAGGCCAGTCAGGGCAGGTTCAAGCACAGTTGGGACTGCTCTACAAAACCACTGCTCCAGCTGGGGCATCAAACAACAAAGCCCGAACTCAGGGACTTTGTGCCCTCAGGTTCACACTAGCATAACCTCATCAGCCTCAGTAGTTTCCCTTAGTTTTGCAGCTGTGAGAACAGGAACCAGGCTGACTCACAGCCCATCCTCCTTTGTATGCCAGTGTGCCCCCTGCTCCCGCTTACACTGCAGCATGGTGTGTCCCAAACAAATTTAGGGCAGAGAGGGAAGGAAGAAGGTGTGGGTTTGTGTTACACAGGTAGGAACACAAGAGTTACAGCCTGTGACGTGGGCAGCCAGCAGTCAAGCCACAGAGCACCCCAGGTTCTCCTCAGGCCTGTGGCTCCCATTCACACTGGGTGACTTCAACACCCAAAGTGTCCTGTCTGTGCCAGGGATCCCTCGCAGGCTCCAGATAACAGAGCTGTTGAACCCGCCCTGACGTGCCTGGCAGCTCATCTCTAAGCAAACACACGGTAGGTACTGTCTCTAACCTGTATCTATGCTCCTCTGGATGGCTACAATCAGAAAAGTAGGAGTGTGAAGATCATGATACTAATTCATTACACTGCAGTCAACTCCTGAGTGTTGCAAGGTCATGCATGCCAGGTGCTCATCTCAGTAATTTTTTTTTTTTAATTTTGCAGCATACAAACAACATTAAGACACACAGGACTTTACAGTAAACATAGATGCAGAAAATATATTCAGCAAAATTAAGGCTGCACCCGTAGAGACACAATTCACCCAAACCCGAGAAAAATATGAAGAAACTCAGAAGGAATGTTTTTGACATTCCTTTCTGCTGTCACATCAGCTGCCATTTAACAACCACTGCATTGAACACACCATAAGAAGTCCCCTTCCTCTTTTTTTTTTTTTTACATCAAAAATCAAAACACAGCTTGTACCACCAACTGGTTTAATTCACATGCTAGCAGAAAGCCTTACATCTCTGCTCAGTAGGTGGCATGTTCAATTGTTCATGCAGAAATTTCACCCATCTGCTCAAACTGGATGCCCAGGCAAAAAAGTAGCACTTAAAAGGATGCCACTAGACTTGCTCCCACTCTACCTGTGTCCATGTGCAGCAGCCTGACTGAAAGAGTTCATGTCACCTTGTGGAGTCATGGAAATGCCATTCCTGTACATTGTTCCTATCATGGGGTCAGCTCCTCGCTCCAACAGCAAACTGACCAGTTCAAAATTTCCTGCAAGGCAAGAGATGCATTTTTACTCCTTTTAAAATCCAGTGTTTGCTCAACTAAATCACACATCCCAGCTGAGGAATTGTTACAATGGGAGGAGAAAGAAAGTCCTTACCAGCAGCTGCTGCCAGCTGTAAAGGAGTTTCAGAGTAATTTTCCTCTCCATGCTCTAAAGAACCTTCTACCTTTGCTCCAGCGTCCAGCAATAGCTAGAAAGAAAATTCACCATTTAGAGCAACTGGGGGTATCACAGCCTTCAGAGTTCATGAGCAGTGACAAATGAGAATCTAATGCTTCTTGTTATCTGCAAACCAGATACAGTGGAGATATGTGACATGCAAATTCTGCCCACTGTTTCACAGAGGCAAATTCATTCCTTTTTTCGCTCATTTTACGCTGCCAAACTCCAGAAGCACCAGCATCCAACTTCAGAGCCAAAAAAGTTTAACTCGGTGTTTTGAATGGGAAATGGGGTAAGGTCAGTGTTAGGAAGTAATGCACTGGAGATGAAAGAAAGTTAACCCGACAAGCATCCTTCCTTCATGGTCTTCTAGAAGCCCAGCATCATCCAAAAATGGATCAGATTTCAATTGTCTTCATCTTTTATATGAAGACATGGCCAAAAGAAAGGCAATTCTTAAGAACCAATTGCAGCAATGAGTCCAAAAGCTGTGGTCTCCATTAGGGACACTTCCATAAGTAGCAGCAATGCTGAAAACAAAAGTGGCCAAGAAGAGCAGGATGGAGCCTGTGCTCCAGCCCCTCTTGGCCATTTCTGTCTTAAGGCCTTCAAAGTTTTGGTGCTTGAGTGTGTCACAGATACAGCTGTTTTGAAGAATAAACCTTCTCAACTTTCGAGATGCCAAAGCACAGAACCAGCACATCCCACGTGACACCTGGATGGGGTAAGGAGAGTGAGGGATCCTCCCCCTCTGGAGCAGCTTGAGAGCTGCTGTCCACCCCTCTCCCACCAAGGCAGCGGTTTTGTGTTTGCTAGAATATTACAGTGTAAGAAAGTGCAATGAATGAATAAACAAACATATAAAACAAGTGGTCAGGAAGGAGCACAAGGAGTTGTCAGACTTTCTTTGGTGCAACTTTGCTTTAAAATTGTCCTGTTTAAGCCTCATATTGGTTAAGGTTTGAACACCATATTCACTTTTTAAGTCTATCATGTATCAGTACACTCTTGAAGAAGCAGAAGTAACCAATATGAGTATGACAAGAGGATGCTGGTTTGAGATGGATGTAATTAGAACTGAGGAGGAGAAAAAAAAGAATGAGATGCAGGTAGGGAAATACAATAATACCTGAACTACAGGAATATGTCCATGCAACACAGCAAATGTCAGAGCTGTCCAATGGCGGGTCTCAGGGTGGACGGATGGGTATTTATGAGCAGTACTGACAACCTATAAACAAATTAAAGTTATTTTTTTTTAAAGAGCTATATGTAACAAAATTCAACCTGCCTGAAAGCCAGGCATGTGAGGGAGTAAGTGAAACAGAAAACCTGGGAAAGGTGCTTTATAAAATTATTTGCTTCATTTTTTTCCTGCAAAATTTTTCTCAATATTAAAACTGCTCATGCTGATTTGACAGCTTGATTTGAGTTCTTACCAAATGAAGTCTTTTACCAACTACTGTAGCTCCATCTAAACCACTGGCCACCAGATTCTTTTGCACAAGGGCAAAACATCCACAGCTGGTTACAACAGCACACACTGGGGAAAGTAAGGATGGATCAGGACACTTACAGCTAAGGACCACTCCCACTGACTTCACCAGGCCATGTACCAACAGCCCTGGGTCTTGGGATTGCTCCAGGCCCAGCCAAATTTCTTTGCATTTAAATCAGTATTTTTTGTCACTGCTGTCATTAAAGACACATCACAAGCCCTACCCTGGAGTTTGCAGGCATTCTTCCAGGCTCCTCCTCTCTCACCAGAGGGGGAAAAAAAAAAAAGTCTGAAAAAGTGATGGGGCAGAGTGTCACTTCAGAAATGTTTAAGAAAATCTCCTTTTTACTGCATTCTCCTGTCTGAGTTGAGCTAAAAGTGCTGGGGGGCAATAATTGAAAGAGATGTGAACTATATCCTTAGAAAACAAAATGCTATTCTTCAGGTTGCTCCTTCCATTTTCTATGCCTTATTGCCTGGTGCCTCTAATGTAGACATTGGGGAAGATGAATAACCATTCCTTGTTTTGGTTTCCCTGTCTTAAAGATGGGGGTGTTAATATTGACGAGGTTCACAAAGCTGGTAGAATCTAATGAACATTTTCAATCCAAGGCTGCACACTCAGATGGAGTGTGACACTACAATTCAAAATCTTGTTATTGATCTTCAGAGAAGGACTAAAATCAGAGTAAAAGATGCACCATCTCTGTGTCTCACCAGCCAGCTCTGATTTCACTACCTTGTCTGAAGTACTTTAATCCATACAGGGGAGCAGGGCTAGTCATTAAATATCCAGTTCCAGCAGCAGCTCACATTTCCAAGCGCCACATGCAGCGTTTTGCTAGATGCAGGCCCTCAGTCCCAAGGACAGGGATGAGGGCAAAGTCTGAACACCCTGTGCAGATCCCACAGCTTGCCAGATCTGCACCAGCACCTGGCTGTTACCACCCAGATTTGCCAGAGAGAGAGCTCAAAGGGCACCACGAGGAGTGTGCTGGCCTCTGAACAAGGACAGAGGGCTCCTTAGGGGCTGAGCTGGGTCAGAAGGAAGAGGATTGAGCAGCTCAAGCCTTGGGGTTTGGGATGTGGAGCGAGAGCAGCAGAGGGGAAGGATGGGCAGGCTCAGTGAATGCATCCAGCTCCTTCTCAAGCATGGTTCCCACCACTGTTCGGGGCAGTCCATGGAAAGCAGCAAAGAAAATGAAGTCATTTAAACTCCTTTGCTCCTTTTTGTTTTGTTGGGTTTTTTGGGGTTTTTGTTTGGTTTGTTGTTTTTTTTTTTCCCCAAGTCAGAGGTCTCTCCAGCATAGTGTTTGTAAAAGACCTGTGCCTGGATAAGCTTTTAAGGATGAGACTGGCTGAGCAGCTACAGGTCCCACTGAGTACAGAGCAAACTGCAGATTCTCAGCACATCTGGAAATTAGTTCATTTTCACTAAGGGTGGGCAATCAAAAAGGGAGGTGCCCAGCATTTGGGGCTACTTTTGGAAACATATTTGCAAAGTGAAAGGGAGAAAATTACACAGCACCTGACAGAGTATTTATTTTTGTTCATGGTTGATTTGCCTTTTTTTTGCCATAATTGCCCAATTTGCACAGTTGGTTGTAGTGTGCACAAATCATCGTATAATTGCACGCCATAATTATTCACAGTTCTTGTCCAAAAGTGTTTTCATTTGATTTTAGAGCAAACACTCTACAGCAGTGAACTGGGGAGGTTCACATTCCTCACTGGAGCTGCTCTCTCATATGTCAGCAGTTTCAGGAAGACAAAACTGTTTAAATTTGCATTTGATTCAAGCCTGGAAGATTACTGGAGCAATCAGGAGGACTGCTCCTAATGAAAATTTGTCCTAGGAACCAAATAATGCCACCTCACATCTGAGCCACAAGGCAGAGTTAAGGAAGAGATCAGCCTCCCTGCCATCCAGTCTTTGGTCCGACTAAGGGTTCAATTGTGCAGTTCCTGCCAGCTTTGAGGGTGGTGTGCTTGACTGTGGGGAACTGAAATCACCAGCTGATTCCATGACATGGTAGTAACACTGTCCTACTGGTGACATCCATTTCTACTTTTTAAATTGGACTTTTTAAAAGTGCAAAACGTCTGTCTGAAGCAGTGACTCCAATTTATCAGCTCGCTCAAGTCCAAACAAAACAGATGGAACACAGATAAGTGAAGCAGACAGCTTAATTTACTCATGACCTCAACAAATTGAAACTGGAATCATTAACAAATAACTCTTCATGAATTTTCAAATGGCTCTTTAAAAATGTACATACCTGCATTGCACTGAGTTGGACAACAATCTGTTTGGTGGACAGATTGTCATAGTTTGTGATATGCATTCATCAACGAGACATTTATATTCTGGAAGCTTCAAGCTCCTCATCTAATAGTTTTTAGCCCAAGGCACTTTGTAAAACAAAACAGTGGAACCTATATGGCTCTCGTGTGCTGACGATGCTTACTTGGATCATCCATATGCATAGAAATGCTGAGCTTTGGCAAGTTACCAGATGGGTGTTTCTTTTACTTTCTTCATTTAAAGTCAGCTGAGATTCAGTGAGTCCTTCTAGCAGCATTAGAGCTGTGCTCAGGGCTAGTGCCAATTAATGCCTGTACTCATTTGCAGTGTGCAGACACAACTAAATCACTGTTACCTGTGGGTTATGTCCAACGACTGGACCCCTTCTGTGCAGTGAATTCCAGTGTTAACCTAATGCCATTTGATTTCACTGTGCATTTCAAGTAGTCCCAATCCCGGATAAAATAGATTTGTTTTCTTCTTGATTCTTGAGATTTTCACTCTGCTACAGTTTCAGGGGGTAGTTTAAGATGTGAACAAACAACAGAAAAAAGATACAACCAACAAAAAGTCCTCACCTCGGCATTCAGATCTGCTCCAGCATCTAGCAGCATCTGCACCATAGCCTCATCACCCCTGACACAAGCATACATCAGTGGAGTCATGCCCTAGTCATTTTTTGGAGTTAAAAAACAAAGGAATTGACAAATTTAACACAGAACTGTCTTTGATTTTTAAAAGCAATTATTTAAATATATATCATCAAGACTAACAGCATGTATTACCTCTGTTAGCAAGCCATTACCTCTGTTACAAACATGCCCCTCAGAGTAGCAAAGGTCAAACATTTTTGCAAAAATCTCCATTTTAATTGTCACTTGTGCTTACTGCTTGTATTTTTGATGTTGTCTTCAGCATGTTGAGTGAAACTAGGCTTGCCAGCCTCACCTCCATCATATACTAAACTGAGCACTTTTGTCTTTGGGGCCCCAGCAGAGACACGTTTTCACCAAAGCAACCATTATTCACTGGTATTTTAGAAACACAAGAATTCTATTCAGTTTTCTATTATCAGAGTGTCTTAAAATCTAACTTTTCAATTACTGAAAGAGCATTTAAAACATCTCAAGCGCCTTTTAAGATCACTCAGATTTGAGCACAGCTTTTTCAACATGGATACTGTAAGGGGCTGGAAATGTCAAGGCTTTGTATAGCACTCCCTGGCAAACATGGACTTCATTTTAAATGAAATGCCAGACAGCTTTGTTGCAAGTTGCTGGCTCTAGGAAAACATGGCCATGCTTGGAGAAAAAGTAGATTAAGTAACCCTTCACTACAGAATCACCACAATGCAATTTGTATTAATCTGAAATACCTGCTATGCCTGATCACCATTTCCCTTAAGGGAAGTACTGCTGTGGCTGTGGTAATGAGTCCAGATGAAACCATGAACAAAATTATTAAACCTACTGCAAATTACAAGAGCAAAAGCTGTTTATAAAACACAGTGAGGGGTGTTGACCAACAGCCACCAGTTGCTTTGCAGTAAATCTCCTGAAGCAAGCAGCTACCTCTAATGCATGTTTACAGCCTCCCTCAAAGTCCCCCAGTAAATCTGTCAGACCACAGTCCATTTGCTCTTTAACCCAAATGCTGCTGTGAAGGGAAACTGGATGTACCTATCCTGGCCAGACACAGAGCTGTGACACTGCTCCTCCTAGCAAGAGCCCAGCACCACTGTTTTTGCTGAACTACCCCAGTTTTCTTGTTTGTATGAAGGGCTAAAGGCAGTTGAGTCCTTATGTATGGAAAGACTGCTCCTGTAGAGACAATATAAATTAATGTTTATCTCTGCAAGGTCCTTAGATCCTCTCCGAAAGACACTGAGCATTTCACAGGATCCAATCTGCAGTGTACTCATGGAATAAGCACTTGGGGCCTCATGCCATTGTTGAGAAAAAAAGTTCACCCTAGGCAAGGAGAGTTCTTGGGTGACTTGAAGCTATTTGCAAAGAGAATTTGAAAGGACTTCAGCCACAGCCAGTGGTAAAACATTTCCTCTGGCAGTCAGTAAACACTATGGGAACAAACAGGACCACATGAATTACAAAATAATTGTGCTTGGGCCTTGAAACATGAGGATGGGCTAACAGCTTAAAATTAAATACATGTTCCTTCAGCTGGTTTTTCAGTTTCTGTAAGTGGCATCGCTGGATAATTAAGTCAAGTGTTCACTGAGCACAAGGGGTCTAATCAGATCTGTAGGAAAGAATCTGAAAACCCAGTGCTGGGGCTCCCCCTGCAAGACCCAGCACGTGGGCAGCCACAGTGAGGAGTCCTGCGGCAACATCCAGAGCCAAAGCTCAGCCTGGGAAGCACACAAGATGTCCTGACCCTGCTGCAGCTGAACGAGGACTTAACACTGACCAAAGGGGGCCCAGAATGTCATGCTGCAGTGTCAGGGTTTTAAAGAGTTAATGAGGATTTTAGCCTCCCCTTCACTGCTGTCCCTGTTGCTTTTGCCTCTGCCAGTCCCCCCAGGCTTGCCCTGCAGCTCAGCCTTGTGCTGCAGCACCACTCATCCCCTCTCTGCACATGGCAGGAATGGATTTTTAATGAGCCCATCATTAGTGTTCGAAGCACACACAGGAACACAGTAACAATGTGTACAACCAACACAAAGGCATTTGGCTTTTGGCAAAATATGAAATTACTGTCTTTCTTTCAGCTTTGTATGACTTAGGGCTCTGTCCTGCAAGATATGGGATACTGCAAGATGTGGGACATTTGACCCAGCAAAGCATTTAAGCACAAGCTTAACTTTCACTCAAAAAGGATGTAAAAACATGTGTTCAGAGTTAAGCATATGATTAGGCACTTTGATGAATCAGGCCAGAGTGTTCCCAGTTTTCAGCCTGGAGGACAGAGGGAATATGCTGTGAGAAATTTCCAGATTGAGACTAACTTAAAATAACAATAATCTTAGAAAGTATGAACCTTGGAATGAGTAGTCTGATACTGTTTTGTGGGTTTTTTTTTTCTTTGTTTGTTTTCTTTTCCAGGAAGTATTGCCCTCTCCTAAAGCTTTTCTCAGATGAATCCACAATACTGACTCAGACTGAAGCTACTGAACAGCAACATAATTCAAATTCCTGGAACAGCTTTTATCTCAGAAGACCTAAACCCATGAACAGTCCAGCTCTTGTCCCACATGACCACCTGAGAGGTGGCAGCCACCTGGCTCCTGTCAAAAATGATGCCACAGCTCTGGGAACATGCAGCAACAAACTTTCATCAGGGGGACCAGAAGGGTCAGGGCACTCTATTTCAAAAGGAAAGGTTAGTATTCATTGCCATCATTTCCCTCTGGGAAGGGGGAACCACCTCGGTGAGCATCACAGTCCACCAGACAGCTGCCAGTAGGTAGCTGCAGAGGGAAGCTTTATCCCCAGGCACAACCGCCAGCCTCAACAGGCGCAACTCCAAGGAAATTTAGGCTCTTCAACTGGTGGATGTTGGCCACAATGACCAGTGGGGGGGTAACTGCAGAGATACTTCCACGTCTGCGAGTTCCGTTCAAACTGGACTGAAATCCATTAGAGAGCACCTGCAATTAACCATTTACTGACAGGCTGGGTGGTGCACATGAAGTGGTGACAGATCCCAGAGCTGTGTGCAGTGCAAGGCTGCTCACCTCACAAAGCCTTGTTTCACAGAACTGTGCACAGCACTGCAGCAGTTTTAAGTATTTAGCTCAACACTAAGCTCTCTTGGGATCTTCCTCTGCCTTCACTCGACTCAGTTCACTGTTAAAAAGATTTCACGGTATGCAGTCGCCCTCATGCTGAGTTACCTCAGTACTGGCAAACCAATACAACTCAAAATGACTTCACTTAACGTGGACATTCACCTGGCAGTGCTTTAACTCAGTGAAGGGGATGCATTAAGGTCCTGTCTATGTAGAGCTGAAAGCTGGGGCTCATTTCCTGTGACAAGCAGACAAAACTCTCCCATTCCACAGCTGCTTCTGTAAATGTCTATCCCATTACCTGCTCGCTCATGCTGTTGATCCCATCCGGCCCCAGCAAGGATATGGCTTGCTTAACCAGATCCGTGCGGCCGCAGTTGAGCATCCGGAAACCCAGGTCTTGCTTGAACTTGGCCTCGGTGGCAACTGCATCCAGCTTCCGAGAGGCACAGAAACAGTCGTCGATCCTGCGGGGTGAGAAAGCAGCTCCCTCAGAGGACAACCAGAGGACAGACCTCCCCAGGAAAATAATACTGTGCCCTGCTTTTGAAGAATTCAGGTCATGCACACATCCATTCTCCTTTGACCTGCATGTGCAAGGGAAACGCTGAATGAGAAATGATAATGCAAGCTAATGGGAAATTGCCCTTGGTCTATCTTTCATGGGACAAATTATAAATTTCAATAGAAATCGGGGAGGGGGAAAAGCACAGCTTTCACTTGATTTTGTTTCACTGTTTAAGCAATGCACAATACATTCTTACCACAACTTTTGTTTCTGCATAGCAAGGTTATCCAGTTCCTCCGATCCCTGAAAACTTTCAATGAGTTCAGTAAGCTTTGAACTTACATCAAATGAACATATAATCATTGACAAGACACCAAAGAGAAAAAAATGATACTCCAAACACCCTCAAGGATATTACCAGCATAGTCTCAGTAACAGGGAAGCTTTTTTGGAGCACAAAGTACAAGTCACAGAATCACAGGCTGGCTGAGGTTGAGTGGAACCTCTGGAGGGCACCTGGTCCAAGCAGGGCCACATGTACATAAGACCACTGTGCAACTGAGGAGCAGGCAATCTTGTCACGTAGTCACAGCAAAACACCACAAATCCTTTCTGGCTGTGTCTAACAGGTGAGATGTCATTCTTGTAAGGTCTTATTCAAAAGATCTTCAAACTGTGAACTGATATTCAGTTTATATGAATGAAGGACTAGGAGTTATTTAGCCAAGATGTTGGCTAAATACATCTCTACAGCTCCAGAGAGAGCCAGGCAATTCAAATATAACATTTATCCAAGCTGGTTTCATCTTGCTAAAAGACAGGCTTGCTTTTCTTTCATGTTGAGGAGTGTCTGGGGCAGAGGGTGGAGTCCAAATCCACAGCACTTTTGGTGTGAACTTGGATAAAAGGACTGTTTGGAAAAACACTGCTTCAAATCTGCAAAAATGCTAGGTCAGAAAATGAGGGGCTACTTATGAAGGAAAAACAAAATAGAGATGAAAAGTGAAAAAGTCGAGCATACATCAAATATTTGTTTTCCTATTTCATATGTAAAAAAAACCCAGCAAATCAAAAGGAAAATAGAAACAGCACATCACTATCATTTAAATTTCTTCTTCAAAGTGCTTTATCAGACCTTTATAAAATATATAACACTGCTTAATATTTAACAGCACTGTGCACAAATACATTTATATAGAAGCAGTGGCATGTAGCAATAGCTGATGCTCTTCCTCTTTCAACAGAGGAAGGAAAGTGAAATGCAAAATACAAAGTGTTTTGATCAAAGCTTCTACAGGTTTGAAACCAGCATCTGATCTCAGACTTGCTCTCTGCTGTGCTGGGCCACAACCAGTCTGGAGGACACCAGTTGTTTTGTTATGTTCATTCTACTGCTCGGTTTGGGTTTTGACTGATAAAAAAAGTTCATGTCCTAGGAATGCAAAAAAAGGTATGTTTAGAGTATCACCACTCAGGGATGACGTTCTATCACCACGGGATGCTGCAAAATTAATGCACAACACTCAGTCACAATAAACACACCTCAACAGCAATAACAGATTCTGCACCAGCAACATGCCCACAGCAGAGAGGAAGAAAGGAACACACAGCATGTTTCTCACTGAATTCAGTTTCTCACTGAATTTAAGTAAAAAGCAAAACCAGCACAGACATATGCAGGGCTGAGCTCACTGACACTGAGATCTGTGGGAGCAATCGAGGCTAAATGCATTCACACCACATGGCACATTCCTGACACAAGAGCTACAGCAACATTTGGTGCTTGTTACCCCCATAGCATGAGATGCTGGAGATCATCTGTGCCCTCCTTTATGGCATGGCAAAGATAAAGCATGCTCAGAAGTTAGGTGCATGGAGGGCACTCCATCTGCAGAGGGCATTCCCAGGTGATTTTGGGCTGAAAACAAGGTGGTTCCTCAGCAAAGTGCCGCTATGGAAAGATCTAGACATCCTCTGCAGAGATGTCTGCTGCTATGAATCACTGCCTGTGTTAACTCACTGCTTCATCATTTGTACTGAGGTATGTAACATACACTGAATAAAATGGGTCAGACTCTGACAGAGCTCCAACTGATGTCAGCCCAGCTCAGTGCATGAAAATGATAGTTGATCATTTCCTCCTCAAAAAAAAGCCAAACTTTGACCTGGGTTGCACACCCATAGAAATGAGGAAAAAAGAACAAGGACTTATCTCACCTAGCCTGTATGTGCTCCCCAGATCTCTACTCTGGCATGGGTTCAAAAATCATCAGGAACTCCTCCATGAACTGGCTCTGGTCTCCTGTGTCAGTTCACCTGCTTACTATAGTCAAGGAAGGAGAACCATAAATTCCTGTTGATATTTAGTATTAGCAAATCAGTACTCCTCAATCAGCTGGGGGGATAAGTGTCTTGGTCCAAGGGCTCCAGGCTGCTACAGCTGTAAAAACAGTGCAACAATAACGTGGATGCAGAGGAGTGCCTGCACAGTGGGTAGGACGCCAGTGCTGACAAGGTCTGAGCTAGACCAAGTTCCACAAAACAAGAAATCACAACTTAGTACCACTGCCAGTGGCCCACTGCTTTTTTTATGCCCCAAGCAGTACCACTGTGAGTATTACCATATGTTGACTAAAAAACTACATAGTGATCAAATTGGTGAGTTTATTAGGACAGGAGCATGACACAAAGGAAAGAGAAGAGCATGAGGAGAGAAAGCAACATCTCGAAAAGCCAGAGAGATAAATGAGTTAAGGAAAAAGATATTTAACATGTACTGATAAAAAGCAGTGAAGAGACATCAAAAAATGATCAGGAACTACAAGTACAATTAGAAAAGCACAGCATCACTTTTAACACTGGAGAAGGCCAGCTGGGAGGACTGCACGACAGACAGACCAAGCTGTCACATTTCAAAATGAAAACTGGAAAATAAAATAAAAAAACAAAAAACCCAAACCTATCAAAAATCAAACCTAAGCTAACACAGCACTGCATTTTCTCCCAAGTTCTCCTTCTTAGCATTCACTGCAAAATACTGATTCCAAAAAGAAGCAGAGGGTGTCTGCTCCATCTTACACTGTGTAAGGGGACACTGCTCCATCATGGACACCATCCAGAATCACAGACATTAAAGAATGCAAGATAAAAGAAGAGGAATTGAATATACTCCCAGGCTTGACTCACTCGAGACTCTTCCACTTTGGACTGAAGCAAACATACTGACAAGCTCTGAAGAGGTGGGAAAGGGATGGGAAAAAGCTTGAAATACAAGGTTGACAGGGAACAAGTAAAGTCAGCTAAATATACAGGGTCACTTTTTAGAGTTGTGAAACTGTGCCTGCTCAGCAAGGGAACAGAGCATACGTGCATACAGAGCTGGAACCTTCCCCAGCTGCACTGTCAGCTTTTGCCAAAAACTCTTTGTGATCTTTCCAAGAGCACAGGAGGCTGACACCAGCCCAACAGCAGGATGTCCCCTCCAAAGTTACCATGGTTTGTTGCCAGAGTCTGCCAGCCATCAGCATTCACACAGGTCATCCTTTCCCCAAGACCTCACCCTGCAGAAAAGGTGCATTTTCATCAAAGGTGCTGGGAAGGCTGATGGGAGGAACAGAGGATCCTGGAGGGCCAATGCTCTTCTGCTCCTCTTCCAACTCGGGACAGTCTCAGGCTGGCAAGACGTCCCCACACCACATGCTGGCTGGGTCAGGCAAACTTTGAGGTCTCCCAGAGATGATACAGTGACAAAGGTAGGACTGACCAACATCCTCTGAGACCGATAACTCCTCTCTAAAGACATAGTGCATTCTGAACTTCCATATTTAGCAACCTGTGGGGCTGGGCAGGCTGCTTGGCACCACCACCATCACCACTGCATAATGCTCCCATTCCCAGAATGGAGAAATAATATGTTTGAATTAATAATACACATTTATCACAGGCTTGTGCTCAACAGCAAATTCACCCCTCCAGTTCAGGGGTTCATTCAACCACAGAGCCTATCAACTCCTTCCCTTCCCTAGTGTGAAGCAAGCCAACAATTGCCTTTAAAAATAAAAGAAAAATTAGAAACAAATGAAATAATTTCAATTTTACATTTGCAGTAAAATTGTGACCACACTTTTTAACTCACAATACAATTTTCTCTAAGTCCTCTTTTAATTCCTGACAGATACTGCCTCTACAGCTGTTATCTTCAAGATCATTACAGTGTTGCCACTGCACATAATTAAATGGACTGTGGCTTCATATGGGGAGTGCCATGGTAACATTAATTATTTGCAAATGGTCACTGTCAAATACTGCATGGTGACCATGGCACTCCATCATAGTCTGAAGTACTCAAACCTCCGAAAGGCGTCAAACAAAATCTTCTTCATTTGTAATGGGTCCTAGCAGTACAGCAAATTATTTTTCTTTTTCCAAACTCACATTACAAAAACATAACGCAGCACTTCTACAGCAGTGCTTTAAACACAAGGGATGTTGGTTTTTTTCATTTTCACTCGACTGGCTAAGAGAGAGTCTGTGCAGATCTTTAATAAGTTACTCATGGGTGGAATACATTTGGGAAAATGGATGATTCAAAGCAAAGTGTTTCCATCGTAACTGGTAGACGCAGCTGATTCAAAAGAAATGAAGTGCAGTGTGTGACGAGCAGCAGGACAAACGTTCCTCACAGCTCAAAGGAACAGATCACTGCACTGATGGCCAAGCATCAGAACCTTGTTTGTTCACCTGGGACTCAGTCACCAGCCCTTTCAACTGAAAAAATTATAATCTATTAATAAGGTCCATCTTTTTAGCTTTGTAGAATCTATCCAGTTTGTCCTAAAAATGAATGAGGTCTTGAGTCAGAAATTATAGTTCAGCTGGTTGGGAGCCTGGAAGGAGCAGTCTTTTAGGCAGCAATACAGATGCATTTGCAATGCTGAATTTCTTGGGGTCGTGGATCAC